GTTCTGAAATGTTCAATAAAATCCGATAATTATTAGGCTTTTGCAATAATTTCAAAATCAACGTGTTTTTCAACTAAAAAGACGCTAAAATGACACAAGAAAATGAACTTTCTTAACCAAAATTTCGTAGGTACTAAAAATGCTGAAAATATATAGTTTAATAATCAAAAATCATTTGTTTTTAATAATAACAAAGATTTTAACGATAATAATGTATTTTTATTAAGTCTGGGGTACTTTTCATCATGAATGCATATTTATTTAGCGACTCTTTGGAGGTACCTATGGAACTTATCTATCTATCTATCTATCTATCTATCTATCTATATATATATATATATATATATATATATATATATATATCCGAATGAGAAAAGCACCTTATCTGTCGTATTCAATGAAATGTGCATGAAACAAGGGATTGTTTCTCCAAATATATATATATATATATATATATATATATATATATATATATATATATATAAGAGATTATATTAAAAACATTTTTTTACACAAAAGCTTTCATATACTATGATTATACTTCCTCAGACAATGGAAGATTATCTACTATCACCTGAGGAATACAATCATAGTATTAAAACATGAAAGCTTCCGTGTAAAAATATTTTTATTATAATATATATATATATATATCATTATTTATTCGAAATTTATAACGTAAATATGTAATAAAATCACTACAAAAATAGCCATGTCGTTTCAACACAATCACTTGATAAGACACCAGAAATGTTGAATCAACATGGCTATTTTTGTAGTGATTTTATAACATGTTTGTGTTATAATTTTTGAATAAATAATTATATTTGCTCAACTCTGTATTGAGCACTCTTTTAAGAATAGTATTTTTTGGTTATTGGAATTTATTCCGTATACACCAATCCTATACTTGAGTATATATATATATATATATGTATATTAAGAAATGGACAAAGTCCGACAATTTATTTATTAAAGATATTTTTTTTTATGTTTAACGTTCTTTTTATAGATGGTATTTATCAATTCACCCACAGGAATTGAATGTGGCACAAGGCCTTTTTAATGTGGGTATGTCTGAGCCCGTAGGCCCAGCCAAAAATAAAACCCATCTAAACCCGTCCAAGCGGGCTAGTTCCGTCAACCTCCCCGAACGAAACCCCACCCTTCGGCGGAGCTTCGTCCGGGTTCCCCTCTGCAAGCAGAGAGTTCGACAGACACCCGGCTCGGCAGCTCACAAAGCACAGATACTGCACTTTGATCCTAGCCACCGGGCCGAGCGGGTATTCTTTTTATAGATGGTATTTATCAATTCACCCACAGGAATTGAATGTGGCACAAGGCCTTTTTAATGTGGGTATGTCTGAGCCCGTAGGCCCAGCCAAAAATAAAACCCATCTAAACCCGTCCAAGCGGGCTAGTTCCGTCAACCTCCCCGAACGAAACCCCACCCTTCGGCGGAGCTTCGTCCGGGTTCCCCTCTGCAAGCAGAGAGTTCGACAGACACCCGGCTCGGCAGCTCACAAAGCACAGATACTACACTTTGATCCTAGCCACCGGGCCGAGCGGGTATTCTTTTTATAGATGGTATTTATCAATTCACCCACAGGAATTGAATGTGGCACAAGGCCTTTTTAATGTGGGTATGTCTGAGCCCGTAGGCCCAGCCAAAAATAAAACCCATCTAAACCCGTCCAAGCGGGCTAGTTCCGTCAACCTCCCCGAACGAAACCCTACCCTTCGGCAGAGCCTCGTCCGGGTTCCTCTCTGCAAGCAGAGAGTTCGACAGACACCCGGCTCGGCAGCTCACAAAGCACAGATACTACACTTTGAAAGCCACCGGGCCGAGCGGGTATTCTTTTATAGATGGTATTTATCAATTCACCCACAGGAATTGAATGTGGCACAAGGCCTTTTTAATGTGGGTATGTCTGAGCCCGTAGGCCCAGCCAAAAATAAAACCATCTAAACCCGTCCAAGCGGGCTAGTTCCGTCAACCTCCCGAACGAAACCCCACCCTTCGGCGGAGCTTCGTCCGGGTTCCCCTCTGCAAGCAGAGAGTTCGACAGACACCCGGCTCGGCAGCTCACAAAGCACAGATACTACACTTTGATCCTAGCCACCGGGCCGAGCGGGTATTCTTTTTTATAGATGGTATTTATCAATTCACCCACAGGAATTGAATGTGGCACAAGGCATATTTTTTTATGTGGGTATGTCTGAGCCCGTAGGCCCAGCCAAAATAAAACCCATCTAAACCCGTCCAAGCGGGCTAGTTCCGTCAACCTCCCCGAACGAAACCCTACCCTTCGGCAGAGCCTCGTCCGGGTTCCTCTCTGCAAGCAGAGAGTTCGACAGACACCCGGCTCGGCAGCTCACAAAGCACAGATACTACACTTTGATCCTAGCCACCGGCCCGGGTATTCTTTTTATAGATGGTATTTATCAATTCACCCACAGGAATTGAATGTGGCACAAGGCCTTTTTAATGTGGGTATGTCCGAGCCTGTAGGCCCAGCCAAAAATAAAACCCATCTAAACCCGACCAATAAAGTTCCGTCAACCTCCCATGAACGAAACCCTACCCTTCGGCAGGGCCTCGTCGGGTTCCTCTCTGCAAGCAGAGAGTTCGACAGACACCTGGCTCGGCAGCTCAAAAGCAAAGAAATACACTTTGATTTTATTTTTTTATAGATACAAGTATTTAAGTAAATACTCTGTTTATAATAAAAATAAACATTTTTGAATGTTTATATTTCATAGAAAATATTCGACAGGATTCGAACCTGCATCCTATAAAAACCGTCATTCTTTAATAAATAAATTGTCGGACTTTGAACGTTCATTTCTTTAATATAAATGACGTCATTTGTTGACATTTTTGATACGTAAGAGCAGTTATGAATGTAATGAGATTCATGGAAGATTGAAGTTTATAAGCAGTAAATTCAACCTAGCCAACCGAACGATCCTTTGTGTTTGATCGTTAAGGCACGTTAAGCGTAAAAAAATGACGATTCCGTATAGGATGCAGGTTCGAATCCTGTCAAAGAACGAATATTTTCTATGAAAATTTCTCGGACACTCAGGCCGGTAAATGTTATTTAATACTGTTTATTATAAACAGAGCATTTACTTAAATACTTGTATCTATAAAAAGAACGTTAAACATAAAAAAAATGTCTTTAATAAATATATATGCGTGTGTGTGTCTGCGTGTGTTAATGTGTGAATACAGAAAAAAGGGAAACATTTCTTTGGCAATGTGTTTCGTTCTCTGATGGACTTTACCAAGGCAAATGGAAGGATTTTTTGCAACATGTATTCATCAACAGAATTAAAATATCGTTAAGTTTTCAATTGCTTTTAATTTAAGAACTCTCTAAAATATTCTTAAATTGTGTAAATAAATGTAATTTAATGCCTACTAAACGAAAGTGAGTACATATTGTTAAAGTTGTCCTTGAATTATATTTTCTTATTTATTTTTTAACTTAATTATTATTTCTTATTTTGTTTTAATTTGATAAATTATTTATGTATTCATTTGAAATAGCAAAACGTCTTGAGTCAAGTGTTTTCGCTTATTAAAAAAAAATTAATGTCCATGTATGTTGGCTTGGGAAAGAAGCATATCTTTTAAGTGAGGAGAAATTTACAAAAATCCAGGGTGTAAGTTAACATTGTGAGAAGAACAGATAGCTTCACTCTCAAGAATTTTCCTCCCTCCTGGGTAAGACGATAAACTACATCCGTGTCCTGGGTAAGATGATACACTACGTCAAACAGCAAGGCCAGGTATCAGGAGGTTTTCAGGTGCGTGGAACCACTTCTTAATTGCTGGTGTTCCCAGGTCCACCCTGACCCGGGGTGGAAGGACCTGTTAGGGGGTCCTATCTATGGTTAAACTGTTAACCCCAAACTGGGGTAAAAACTCTATGAAAGTGTAAAATTGGTTTTAATACCAGAAATACTTAAGTGGTTTTGGACTATTGTAACCGGGTAGGACAATCTAGCAGGTAACCGTAATGGACTGGTCCTCGTCGTAGTGGTAGGCAATAGGCGTAGTCAATAGGCGTCGTCAAGAGACGTAGTCCATGTAACTCCACATCAGTCTGTATTTATGGCTGACACCAGCCAATCATATTACTCTGAGGGGGAACGCAGGTGCATGCATATTCATTCCATCACTTTGTAAAAAATTATTACCAGAAAAAATTTTTTGAAGATAAATTAATACCGGCAATAAATCTTTGAAGAAAAATTAATAACAACAATACATTTTCGAAAAGAGAAATATTACCAGCAGTACATTGAGGTTGATGAGCCGTAAAACAAAACAAATCAAAACAAACATATGAAAAACTTTTCATTTAAATAAGTTATTTTCTCTTTTACTGAGTGTGGATTAAATTATTTCTGTGTATGAGCAATGCATTTGATAAAATATAATGTAAGAGATCCTTTTATTTATCTAAATATATATATATATATATATATATATATATATATATATATATATATATATATATAAAGAAATATAGTCTTAAGGTATGCTATATTTATGGAATAAAGTGCTCAATATCAGAGATAGAGCGTGTAAATATAAATATAAATATAAAAGTGAACATAGAAGTCAACACTTAGAGGCGACATGTGGCCTGACGATTGCATATAACATGAAACAGACTGTTGCCTCTAAGTGTTGACTTCTATGTTCACTTTTATATATATATATATATTTGTGTGTTTCTTTGTGTGAGTGTATATACTAAAAGTTATATTGTTTTACCGATTTAAAAATAGTAAAATGTAAATCGATATTAATTTGAATTTAAAAAAATCTCTTTTCGTTCATATCCTTACACTGTTTATGGTAAACGAACCAGCTGTTATATTTCCATACATTTTTTAGTATATTAAATATTACGTTCTTTCTGTTTTTTATGGCAGATCAAAAACTGCTTACGCCAAGAATTTATATTATAGAAGCAACGAAAATGTCTCAATTCTGGGCTCATCATAAATACTGCATTTTTAATGCGGTGAAAAACAGCTTTATAAATAGAATTTCGAACGAGTACCTGCTGAACTTTAAATTTTCTTCGATAGTGCCGGGTGAGATGGATATATTATCGCCTAAATCACGCAGGAAGCAAAATAAACCTGACATTTCATTTTAACAGATATATTTACAAAAAATTACACACAGTTTTCTTAAAATACTAAAATTGAATTTAAAAATGTATCAATAAGATGATTTCTTTTCGTCCTTCAATGATAATGTTATTAAGCTTATCAGACAATATGAAAGGAACTTACTTAAAATAAATAGGCAAAACTTATATAATTTATGAAACATGCATCAATATATATATATATATATATATATATATATTGGGTATATTTAGGCAGCAATTTATCATTGATGCATGTTTCATTAAATAATATAGACAGGTTTTATTGCTTGATATATTGAAGTAATTGTCATCTTTGATAATGGGTTATGTAAGCCAAAAGCTTAGATTGGATTTAAACATGTATCAATATGGTGATTTCCTTTCGTCTTTCAATGGTAATGTTATTAAGCTTATCAGACAATGTAAAAGGAACTTATTTAAAATAAATAAACAAAACTTGTCTATATTATTTAATGAAACATGCATCAATGAAAAATTGCTGCCTAAATATATAACTAAAAGCATGGTGGTAATGCCTATAGTACGCAGGGGCTTACAGGGAATTAAAGTGAAACAGAATGAGTAAATTGAGTGTAGGAAGGATTGTGGAGAGGCCAAAAGATGAACGATGTTCAAAACACAGAAGATGACGATTGCATTTAAATCTTTGAAGGTTAGGTTATCAACAAAACAAAGAAACAGAAGGGATTTTCCCAGGTGGGAAGTGTGAGAAAACTGTTAGAGTAAAAGTGTCGGTTGCATTTAGCAATTTCTTTTGATGACGGTTAACAGTCCGTTTCAATGTCATTTTTAAAATTGGTGTTTATTTTTCTTGGACATTCAAGACATCTATAGTTTTTTATAAACGCCTTTTTAAAAGGAATGCGTGCGCGTGTCGACAGTTTGAAATAATTTCACCCCATTTCTTTATTAATCCATTCATGCACTTGAATTATATGATTTTCAGATTCCCAGCCATAAACAGATAGAAATTTTTCCCGCTTCTTTTCTTCGCAACTTTTTCCGCTTCTTTTATTCGCAACTTTTTCCGCTGCTTTTCTTCGCAACTTTTTCCGCTTTTTTTCTTCGCAACTTTTTCCGTTGCTTTTCTTCGCAACTTTTTCCGCTGCTTTTCTTCGCAACTTTTTCCACTTCTTTTCTTCGCAACTTTTTCCGTTGCTTTTCTTCGCAACTTTTTCCGCTTCTTTTCTTCGCAACTTTTTTCCGCTGCTTTTTGTCACAACTTTTTCCGCTGCTTTTCTTCGCAACTTTTTCCGTTGCTTTTCTTCGCAACTTTTTCCGTTGCTTTTCTTCGCAACTTTTTCCACTTCTTTTCTTCGCAACTTTTTCCGCTTCTTTTCTTCGCAACTTTTTCCGCTTCTTTTCTTCGCAACTTTTTACGCTGCTTTTCTTCACAACTTTTTCCGCTGCTTTTCTTCGCAACTTTTTCCGTTTCTTTTCTTCGCAACTTTTTACGCTGCTTTTTTTCGCAACTTTTTCCGCTTCTTTTCTTCGCAACTTTTTACGCTGCTTTTCTTCGCAACTTTTTACGCTGCTTTTCTTCACAACTTTTTCCGCTGCTTTTCTTCGCAACTTTTTCCGTTTCTTTTCTTCGCAACTTTTTCCGCTTCTTATCTTCGCAACTTTTTCCGCTTCTTTTCTTCGCAACTTTTTACGCTGCTTTTCTTCGCAACTTTTTACGCTTCTTTTCTTCGCAACTTTTTACGCTGCTTTTCTTCACAACTTTTTCCGCTGCTTTTCTTCACAACTTTTTCCGTTTCTTTTCTTCGCAACTTTTTCCGCTGCTTTTCTTCGCAACTTTTTCCGCTTCTTTTCTTCGCAACTTTTTCCGTTTCTTTTCTTCGCAACTTTTTACGCTGCTTTTCTTCACAACTTTTTACGCTGCTTTTCTTCGCAACTTTTTCCGTTTCTTTTCTTCGCAACTTTTTCCGCTTCTTATCTTAGCAACTTTTTCCGCTTCTTTTCTTCGCAACTTTTTACGCTGCTTTTTTCTTCGCAACTTTTTACGCTTCTTTTCTTCGCAACTTTTTACGCTGCTTTTCTTCACAACTTTTTCCGCTGCTTTTCTTCACAACTTTTTTCCGTTTCTTTTCTTCGCAACTTTTTTCCGCTGCTTTTCTTCGCAACTTTTTTTCCGCTTCTTTTTTCTTCGCACTTTTTTTTCCGCTGCTTTTCTTCGCAACCTTTTCCGCTGCTTTTCTTCGCAACTTTTTCCGCTGCTTTTCTTCGCAACTTTTTCCGCTGCTTTTCTTCGCAACTTTTTCCGTTTCTTTTCTTCGCAACTTTTTCCGCTGCTTTTCTTCGCAACTTTTTCCGTTTCTTTTCTTCACAACTTTTTCCGCTGCTTTTCTTCGCAACTTTTTCCGCTTCTTTTCTTCGCAACTTTTTACGCTTCTTTTCTTCGCAACTTTTTACGCTGCTTTTCTTCACAACTTTTTCCGCTGCTTTTCTTCGCAACTTTTTCCGTTGCTTTTATTCGCAACTCTTTCCGCTGCTTTTCTTCGCAACTTTTTCCGTTTCTTTTCTTCGCAACTTTTTCCGCTGTTTTTCTTCGCAACTTTTTCCGCTTCTTTTCTTCACAACTTTTTCCGCTGCTTTTCTTCGCAATTTTTCCGCTTCTTTTCTTCGCAACTTTTTATATCGCATTCCTAACACTGGTGATTTCTTTTTTCATATTTATGTTGACTGCCCTCTCGTAATCGTGTGTACCCAACGCACTATATTCATCGAGGAATTTTTAATGGTGTTCCGATCGAATATAGCATTTTAGCCCGCCCAGGGGCTAATATTGTTTGCCGTGTGTTCTAAATGCTCAAGTTGAATTTGCTTCAGAAGCAACATCCAGTAATTGATCTGAAACAGGTCTAGAGCAATCTTATTTGTATCAATAATTACGTTTGTCTTCACTGGGCTGGATCTATAGCGTACGCCAAATTTGTGTATTTCCAAGTAAGATTGTACAATATCAAACAACCTGAAAGGAATTTGTGTTATAGTGGTGAAAGATGGCGCGCTGGTGGTGGTGGTGGGGGGGTCAAAACGAATATAAATGATTTGAAAAGGAAAGGATCGCAACCTTCTCAGTCTGCTGCACGTTTTCCGTCAGTTTTGCTCTAAAAACCCACTTGTGGTACCCTCATACGTCAAAAACGACGCCAGTCCAGAATATATATATATACAGTTGGACTTTATACTCTTTCTGATTGTTACTGACTAACCTGCGTTCGTTTGACTACAAATCTCTCTGTTGTAAATACCTCTTCAGATATACCAGTATTTTTCCCTACGTATGTGTTTGTCCTTATTTCAATACACGCACGCGGAAACACTCAACATCTCAACAATTATACAAAAAGATTACTTAACTGTAATATCATTTTTAATGTTATTTTCCCCGACTTCGATGTTTCTTGGTAATAACCATTCTTTAACCCCTTATTACCAAGACACTTGAACTCGGGGAAAAACAACAATAAAAATTGATATTAAAGTTAACAATCTTTTTATATATATATATATATATATATATATATATATATATATATATATATATATATGTGTGTGTGTGTGTGTGTGTGTGTGTGTGTGTGTGTGTGTGTGTGTGGTGTATCAAAATTATTTCTACAATCCTTGGGGTGGGTTTCTTTACACTGAGGACAAAAGTCCATATAAACATGTTCGCAAATCCTTCGTTTCAGAGTTAAGTTTAAAGTAAGTTTAGCGTAGATGGCGCTGTATAGCTATGTAGACTAAGTTACAATTGTGGCCAGTCTGTCTTCAATGTTTAATGTGTGTAGTAATGTGTTAAATGAGAAGTGTTCAGTTCAACAATGGCAGCATAGTCATATCGGGAGCAAGCAGGTATGATTTTTACTTACTGCTGCGCTAATGGTAATGGACGCAATCCTGCCCGGCTATATCAGATTGCGTTTTCAGACCGAAAGCAGCCGAGTCACTTAACCTTTGGTGCTGTTTGGCGTTGCATTTCTGAGACACGATTTGTGGTACCACAAACGAAGAAAACCGAAATCCGGTTAAGCCTGACCACGAAAAACTACATTTACAGGCTGTCAGGGGAGGATCCAGGTATCAGCATACCTGGACTTTTCTCCTTGTTTTAGTATGAGGGACCCGCACCCAAAGATTGCAAATGTATTTTGATATACCCCTCTCTCTCTCTCTCTCTCTCTCTCTATATATATATATATATATATATATATATATATATATATATATATATATATATATATATATATATATGTTATGGTCCAGGTTAGGACCAAGGAAGAACAAGACGAACACAAGTGTAGAAATAACGAAGGTATATTACACGAAATAATAATACAAGATGTGGAAGGTGTTAGTATGACTGTCAGTCTGGATTGGAGTGAACTACTATCGGCTAGACTCGATTCGTCCCTCTCTCTCTTGAGTGGCGTAATATACATAGTGTTAGGAAGAGTTCATTCTGTAGATATAGGTAAGGACCCATGACAATATGCGTATAGTTATAAAACAGTTTTTGGTCAGATTTGAATGAAACCAGGAAACAGTGATGTTAAAAAGTGCTCAATACGCCTATAAAGAAAATAAAATCTTAACATGCAGAGTTTTTAATTTTTTTAAAATAAGGAGTTTAACCAATCACGCTACCTTGGTTTTCTGAGGATGGCGACAGGTTGAATCCAAGGTCGGATGAAATTTTCCAATTTTAGGATAACGTGTTGTGCATTCTGCTGGAAGTTTTGGATAAACTGTGTGGAGTTCATATTTTGTTATTTTCTTCAAGTACTTTCGACTTACGCAGTCATTGTTAAGAACCAACTTGGTGTCTGTGTAGTAGATCATTTTCCTTTATCTGCATCCTGGTATTTCGAGAGATGGGCATTGGGTCCTCGCGTGATGTTGGGAGCTTGACGCTTGGGGATCTAGCATGACGTCATGTGTAATGGCTATTAGGAATGATGCTGCACAAAATTTGGGATTTATTTATTTTATTTTTTTACAATTTCAATATAATACTGATAAAACATGTGCGCATATTAATTATACTGTTTGCACTTCAAGATAGCTTCTTCTGTGATCAATGGTATTTTATTTAAGATGGGCCTTTTATTTTGTATAATGAAAGCTTTTTTTGCTATTTCTATTTGCTGTATAGTATTTTGGTGTTATCTACTAGTCTTTGTCATATGTTGATAGTTGTAATTTGGTCGTTCTTGATGTGCTGATCGATGTGTGTACGGAGTTTTGTCAAGTGATAGATCAATCTGCGGGGGAATGTAGTACTTGTGTGCCCAATGTAAGTATTTAATGTAGTTTTGTTATTATTTTTGTTGGAGATGCAATCTCCTAGGGAATGTGAGAATTCATAGATGACATTATTTTTTTTCACATAGGGCGGATTTATAAATAGAATAAGATAAAAATGTTTGTAGATGAATGGAGAGAAAATGTCTTTTCTATACTGTCAGATATTGCATCTAATATACTATATTTCCTTGCATTGGGTGCTGCAGAGTATTTGATCTACTAATACTTGTCTCATATTGATAGTTGTAATTTGGTCGTTCATGATGTTCTGGTCGATGTGTGCGCGGATTGCAGTAAATTTTGACAGGTGACAGGTCAATCTGCGAGAGAGTGTAGTGCATGTCTGCCTAATGTAAGTATTTAATGTTGTTGTTTTATTATTATTTTTGTTGGAGATGCAATCTCCCAGGGAGTATGAGAATTCATAGATGACATTATTTTTTTTCACATAGGGAAGATTTATAAGGCTGTTATTGTTGGTAATAATTAAGTTAGCTGTTTTAAACTTTTTGTATTAGATGATAAATATTAGTTGTCTGTTAGGATCATTGAATGATATGTAGCAGTGAATTATGTTTTTAATTGCTTTTTCATCCTGCTTATAATTAGGGTGCATTTGGTTACGATAGAATAAGTTAACATGTGTGTTTATTTTTGTTTGCATCAGGGAGGAGCAGACGTCATTTTTCCTAAATTTCCTTCAGACTAAATTTATTTTTTCGTCAACGACGTGGTTAGGGAAATTATTGTTGATTAGGGTTTGTTTGATGTTGCTAACTTCTTTATAAAATAATATGTTCAAAGAAGAGATTATTTTGGCTCTGTAAAACATGTTTTTTTTTATAACAGCTATTTTGTATCTGTGAGGATAGTCACCTTTGTAGCTGATTAAACACGCGTTTCAGTTAGTGGGCTTTTTTTAAGCCGACGGTGTAGCAATGAGATCGACCCTTGGCCCAGCTCTCTCTAATTTCTGCATGCGCCATGTGGAAAACAAAGTATGCAATAACTCAAACGAGCCCCAATATACGTCCGCTATATCGACGACATATGCATTTTAGCAAATAATAAATTAAAAAAAAAACTGAAAGAAACCATTGAGAATAACTTTGTTCTACACTTTATTTACGAAATCAACATTAGCAAAAAATCACTTTCCTTGACGAATAAGTCGATAACAATAGACATAATTTACCATTTACTCATTGTTCTATGGCTACTTCCACGGAACGTGCTCGGTCGAATTACATTTCCTTCCAGTTCAAACCTTCACTACAAGGACAAGCCATGCCACTTACATAGTATCAAACCACCCATATTCCCCCCGTATTCCATCGGCGTGAAATAAATTCCACTCGAGCAGCCGCTTCCCACAAACCACTGCTCTGTGGAACCGACTCACATGATGTTTATCCGATCACTACAATCTTAATCTGATCAAGGCTAGGGTTAAACGTTAACTTTCCATCCTATCTGCACAAATTGTCTCCTAACTTAACCTTCTGCCTTGAGTGCTCCATAGGTCATGTACAGGGTGAAGCTTACTGCTTAAAAAAAATATACAAAAAAAAACGTACCTTTAGAAAAAACCCACTAGCAGAAATTCATGTTTACTCAACTATATAAGACATCCAGGTTGCCTGACTTTTTTTTTCTGAATTGTTACGCCATGAAGCGTTTTTGTTGTCTTGATAACTTAGGTATAGAGCAATTTTAGTTGTTGTTTAGCTAGGTGTATATCTTTTGATCTTTTTCTCTTAGTATTTTTTTCTTTTCTCCGTTTTCTATTATCGGTGCTTTTCTTGGATTTTGGCTTATTCGTTTTTTCTTTTCTTTTCTTGAGTTCTTGATTTGATTTTGGTCACACACACACACCTATTTAGTTCTTACTGTAGCTCATACAAACCTCAACATACTTTTTTTATTTCCTCATTAAATTAGGGCTTTTCATCTAAACCATGTGTTCCCAACCTTTTTTTGAGACAAAACAATTTTCCACACTCCACTTACATAGTAAATATTCAAAAGCATACGAAATTTGTTTGGTAAAAGTTTGTTATTGGCTCGTAAACAGACTTTATGATACAGTAAACTATACCAAAGACTAATATTGTTTTTTAAAAGCAACAACTGCAAAAAACGGATATCATATGTAATCTAAAGTAAACAATGGTATAATCGATATGTTGACGTTCCGCACTATTTCAAACAAACAGTTAGGAAGGAAATCCCCATTAATACTGAAAATAACAATAACAGCTACTAGACTTGAAAAACCTATTTCCCTGAAAACTTGCTTTAAGAGAATGGTTGGTCAATAAATGACAAATGTTTTCTTATAAGAAAATGATAAATATTACCATGACCAACACTATTCCGACTGAAGTAGACTCGAGTTTTATTTATTTCTAGATCTGGTATTATCCTTTTTGGCTTTCAATACAGCTGCTGATGGACAGGATTTTGTTTTCTTCTGATTGTCTGAGGTACTCACGCGAGCGTGTGGTATTCGTGCCGAGAGGCAGTGCATACAATAGTTGGCTTGTAAATAGTCGTCGAATCTCCTCCTTTTTATATGACACCCATTGCGGGCCTAACTGTATTTAATGTTGTTAAAAGCTACACTTAATTTGTCGATCAGTGTAGCAGAGAATAAATTTTAAGTCCTCACGATTAGCGAATGAAACCCGTTCTGGCATTATGACAATATGTAGGTTTCTGAACGCATAAAATGCAATAAAATTTGTGCAGTAATTAGTGACATTTTAATGTGACACACATGTGTGCCCATACTTCAAGACAGAGAGAGAGAAAGGAAGAATTATATTCTATAATTTGAGATATACTCATATATATATATATATATATATATATATATATATATATATATATATATATATATACACGTGGGGGTTAGTATGTATTTAAAAGTAACGGAAGAAAGATTTTTAAATATACTTGAAAGCTCGTATGTTCTTTAAATATATAGGGTTTCCTAAATCAGATTTATGCTCTTATTTCTCGAAATTGCCTTCCTAGATTTCATTTGTGTAACTTAAGAATTTTGAAGATCATTAAATGTATGCCCTGAAAACACTGCGTTAATAAAAATGAAAAAAAAAAACGCAATAAAAAAAGCATTATATAAAGAATATTTATTGGAATAGAAGTGTAGTATTAACGCTGAAAAAAAATGTTAATAGCTAAACTAGGAATAATTTGAGCAGACAAATTTCAAACCGTAATATCCAATATATTTTAAGAGAATTAAGGGAATAGCCCGAGCATATAAATTTCAAAACTTAAGATCCAATATATTTTAAAGGATTAGTCCCAAGATAAAATCTCAAAAACATTAATAACGAATATATTTTTAGCGAATAGTCCAAGGAGATAATTTAAAAATGTTAAAATTCATTATATTTTGAGCGAATAGTCCGAATATAAATTTTCTAAAAGTAATAACTAATATATTTTGAGGGAATAAGTCCGAGCATAAATTTATGATTTTAAGATCCAATATATCTTCTGGGATTAATCGAAGCATAATATTTCAAATATTAGTACCCAATATATTTTGAGGGAATAATCCAAGCATATGAATTTCAAACCTTATGATACAATATAGACAGTGATTGAAAACTTCCTATTTTATGTATGGTGGACTCTCCCGTCTAGTAAAAATTATACTTAGAAGAAAGAGTTCATCATGCATAAAATAGGGGGTTACTTTACAATCACCCTGTATTTCGAAAGATTACGCCACGCATAAAATTTCAAGCGAAATTTTGAGCGAAACTTTCAAGCAAAGAAAGTTCAAAGATCTTATACAGGGTGTCCATAAAGTTCGTGTGCACTTTAAAAAATTGTAACTTTATTTGTATTTGCGATAAAATAATCTGTAGAAAATGTTTAATGTACCTAGTTTTAAGTATAGCTAAAATAACTAATGTGACTTCAGGCATTACTGTCAATCAATTGGCAAATGTTTTCCGTGAACTGCAAAATCGTATTACCCTTTGTATTGCTAATGATGGAGGACATGTGGAAAATTTCTACAAAACCTTAAAAAATATACATTTCCTTCTTTCTAATCCTTTTTACAAATTATTTCTATCGCAAATACAAATAAAATTATATTTTTAAAGTGCACACGAACTTTATGGACACCCTGTATATAATATTGTATATCATTATATAAAAATATATATAACTCCGCTGTATTTTCAATACTTTTATATACTAGGGTGTATCTAAATAATTTTCGTTTTTTTTTAGATACTAGACGAATACCCGTCCTGCGAACAGGTAAAATCATGTTATAATAGATGTTGTTTTAATGTATATAAATTTTCTGTGTAAATAACATTTTCAACAAGACTTCGATTTTCTAAAATTCGTTTTCTCATATTACTAAGTTCAATTAAATTTTGCGCACGGCCACATCACGTTGAAATACGGATTCCCGTACGATCACCGAAGGTAAGCAACATCGAGACTGGTCAGTATCTAGATGGGTGATCACTTGGGAATACCAGGTTGGATGTGTGGCTGGTGTAATGGATAATGGATCGGAATTGTTAATCGGAGAGCCGAGTTCCAATTCCAGTCAGGCTCGTTATATTCACCTATTTACTTACGCGCAAATACTCTTGGGAAAGGTATGAATCCACCTCTTCATCCCCAGCTATGGGTTAAATAGTAAGACGTGTATCATTAAACCATTATTATCTCCAAATATAAAATAAAATTGTGTGCAAAAAATATTCGGCATTGAATAAACTATAGAGGTTGATATGCCCCTAATCAAGCCTATCAATCAATTGATTTTTTTTTTTACTCTGGACATAATGGTATAGAGCTGACTACGAAAGAGACATTCTTTTTTCTTGAGGTAGATACCAAAATTTGAAAGACCTTGATTATTTTGAATTAGAAAATCAAAGGATAATTTTTTAACATATGGTCAGATTTAGAATTTGAATTTAAATAAATGACACAGACGAAATATTTATTAAACTGCCGTTAGCGTTACAGGATGGACTGTTTTGTTCCACTGATGTAAGATTGGGACGCAGAGACAAATTTTAACTTTAGCGAAGTTTTAAAAAAAAAGATTTATTCTAACTAGCAATACTTGTGAACAATTCATGCAATTCATATTTGATTTTTCTGATGAATGTTAATTCTTAAATCAATGATTAAATAAACTATAGTTTTGCGACTATAATACGTCCAGGGAAACTTAGATATTTGAGCTTAATAACCAAATAATTGCAAGATCAATTATAAGCTTGGGTGCTGTTCATTATTTAATGTTTCCTGATTCCGAGTCTTGAAACTTTTACATGGCATGTCAATCATTATTTTCTGTTTTCTTAAATCTTGTTCTTTTATTCTCCTCTCTTCTTAATAGTATATTTTTTCTCATATTCACTAACACTCGGAAAACCCTCGCATCTTAGTTGCTTTATTGCCTTGGTTATGGTTAACTGATTATAAAAAGTAAAAGGTTACAAATGAACAGAATCAAAATTGTCATATTTTTTTACAGACGTTTCCTCTGAAACTTACCTCGTATGCACATCTGAAGAATATATATTATCTCATTATTTTATTTCCATTGATTTCTAGTGTATACTCATTTCTTTCCGGGTCCAGTCCAAAGACCTCAGCTCAGAAATGGCATCATGAAATTTTCCACTGAGCAGTTTTCAAAAAAAATCATATATATTTTACATAGATAAAGCCCTTCTTAAGGTGAGGACTGTACTTGTGAGAACATTTTTTAAGGCATGGATTAATAGGGATTCCTTAATTTAGTCTACTTGAATCTCTTCAAACCAATCCGAGGGTTCCAACAACAACTGGTATTATTGATGTTCTCATGTACCATATTTTTGAGATTTCGATTTCAAGGTTCTTGTATTTTTATAGATGTTTTTAAGATCTTCGAAGATACATTGCAGGGACTGCCATGTCGATAAGAAGGCACATTTTGACTTTGCGGTCTCTAATCACGATGTATTATTATTATTATTATTATTATTTACTTTCATTTCTTGTATGCACTCATTTCTTTCCGGATCCCAACCAGAGACCTAAGGTCAGAAATGACTTCAGGATATTTTCCACTGAGTAATTAAAAACAAAACACAAACAAAATATTTTACATAGATAAAGCTCTTCGTAACGAGTGGGTTGTCCTTGTGAGAATATTTTTTTGTATTTCTTTAAGGCATGGACTACCAGGAATTTCTTCAATGAGTCTATTGGAATCTTTACCAACCAATCCTAGGGTTCCAACTATTTTTGAGATTTCGATTTCAAGGTCCTTTTAATTTGACAGCTTTTTGAATATCTTCAAAGATACATTGCAGTCAGGAGGGACTGCCAGATCAATAAGGAGGCACTTTTTTTGTTTGTGGTCTTTAATAACAATATCTGGGCTGTTGGCTTTGATTGTTCTGTCAGTGTGTATTGTGTAGTCCCATAGAATTGTAACAGGTCTTATCTCCGTAACCGGGTCTGGGTGGTGTTCATACCATTTTCTTTCAGTTTCCTTCCCGTAGAAGTTGCAGATTTTCCAGTGCAGATATTGGACCACTCTGTCATGCCGGGTTTTATACTCAGTGGGTGCCAATGTCGTGCAACCTGACACAAGATGATCAATCGTTTCTGGATATTTATCACAGAATTTGCATTTTGGGCTGACACAATATTTTAGTATGTGTACTTGATAATTTCTAGTTAACAAGCACTGATCCTGTGCAGTAAGGATAAAACCTTCAGTTTCAGCTTTCAACGCTGCACTACGTCGCCACTGATGGGTACGGGTTTTGTCTACGTCAGCTTGTTTGGTACGGGCAGAGTATTGGCCATGAAGCGGTTTATCTTGCCATTGTTTCTGTATCGGGTCGGTTGCATTTGTCTTTGCTTTCTTTTTTAAGTATTTTGCAGCTTCAGCCGGTGTACTCTACTTGTATTTCTGCACACATTATTATTATTATTATTATTATTATTATTATTATTATTATTATTATTTTACTGTCATCATGATTATTATTATTATTATCATTATTATCATCATCATCATTGTTATTATTATTATTATTATTTTTTATTTTCTTTGATTTCTGGCGTTTACACATTTCTTTCCGGTTCCCGCCCAGGGACCTAAGGTTAGAAATGGCGTCATGACACTTTCCACTGACAAAAAAAAAAAAAAATTAAATTACATAGATAAAGCCCTTCGTAAGGTGTGGGCTGTACTTGTTAGAACATTTTTTTGTATCTCCTTGAGGCATGGACTTCCAGGAATCCCTTCAATTAGTCTGCTGCAATCTTTTCCAACCAGTCCTAGGGCTCCAACTACAACAGGGATAGTTGATGTTCCCATATGCCACATTTTTGAGATTTCTATTTCAAGGTCTTCTTCTTCTTCTTCTTCTTATTATTATTATTATTATTAATGCGCATCAAATATTGTTTATTATTCACCTTTATCTTTTGTTTAAGATTTTATCATGTCGCATACATACGTTGGAATTTTGGCGCTTTAAAGGTAGCATTTTAACCTGAGTTTCAAATCTGTTGGACGCATTCTCAAGAATTGAGAAGTACCAGAGACAAAAAAAAAAAGAAAAAAAAGACCACCCTGACCAAAGTTTGTTAGAGCTTTAAGAATTATGTGCTGCCCGTTAATATAAAGCCTACAAATCGATGACCATCCGTTGTCAATTGTGATACTTTAAAACGAAAACTAAAACGAGAAGCCGACCCGAAGCTCACAACAAACATTCGGACGAGCTCAGATCGTCGAAATATACCATCCATAGACCATTATACAAGCTTCAGTAAATTAACTTTGGATTTAAGGTCTGTAAATTTTGACAGATCCAACACCATCGAAAGATGCCATAGAACATTAATAAGCGCCATGAAATTAACTTTGGCGTCAAGGTCTGTACATTTCGAAAGAACAAGGATCGTCTAAAGAGGCCATAGAACATTACATAAGCGTTATAAAATTAGCTTTGGCGTCAAAGTCTGTAAATTTTTCAGAAAGGCTAGTATCCTCGAAAGATACCATATGTCGAGAATTACATATGCTTAACATATAAGTTAATTTGGGAGTAAAATTCGGTAAACCTTTAGAAAAGCTATTAAAGACGAATTATATATGAAGAGAATTATATAGTTTTCATAAAACTCATTTTTGAGTAAATGCTTTTAAAGAAGAGATAAGATTGTCGAATTGGATCCTATTTAGAGACTTATATGCGCTTTATGAAATTAGCTTAAAGCTAACCTTCAGGAGAGTGGTCCCTCCCGACTTCTCACGCTAAAAGTTTACCGACGATATGAAGTGGCAAGATTATATTCAATCAATTGCGAGATCTGCTGCAAGAGATGGTTGTTGAGTATCGTGCTCACTAATTTTTTTTCGTCTTACACTTTTGTAAATCTACTATTCGTCGTATCTAGTCTGGTGTTTCTGTTATATATTTAGATACTTGATAAAATAGAAATAAGAATCTGTAATGTTACCAGTCCTGACCTGGCATCGCGGTTTCCGGCATATTCCCAACTCCGTTATGTAGCTTACCGATGCTATTTTCTATAAATATTTTCACGGTTATTTTTCTGATGTGTTTTAGTAGTTCGACATTATGAATTTAAACGCAGTACTAGATTGGCAGCAAGGTCTCATCATTTTAACGTTGAAATAGCTAAATATAAATACATCGAGTCAATTGCCTCGTCCACTGCGAGGAAAGTTGGCTCCCTGAGCCGCGCTAGGAAGCTTTTCTCCCCTGAGTCGATCTTCCAGATATACAAATCCACAATTCGCCTTTGCATGGAGTATTGCTGCAATATATGGTCTGGTGCCCCTTCTGTTTGCCTCGGGGTTCTTCATAGGCTCCAGAGGCTGATATGCAATGTGGTTGGCCTTGCCCTGGCGTCTCGTCTACAGTCACTTTCTCACAGACGCGCCGTCGCCTCCCTCTGTCTGTTCTACAAATACTTTCATGGAAATTGCTCCGAGGAGCTGCATTCGCTGGTCCCCAGACGTCATGAGTTCCAGCGCCCTACGAGGCTGGCATCCCGCTCTCACCCCTCAATGTCGAAACTCCTAAATGTAGCCGTCTCTTCTACTCTAATAGCTTCATGTCTCTCCAGCTATTCAAGTGTAATGTCAATCGACATCTCCAGTTGCCTTGATATATCCACTACCCTCATCCTTTCTTCTATCACTCCTATCTGATCTTGCTATTTCCTGTAACCCCTTGCATCCTAGTGGCTTCCCGCCTTGCTTGGGGTGAAACGCTAAAAATTAAAAACATAATAACATAAAAAAACATAATAAATATACCCCAGAAAAGATAGGAGCATTGCAATATATAGAATATTACATAGGCTTCTACTATAAACCATTACTTAAAAGAAAAATCGAAAGACATTTCTACCAACATAAGTACATATCTATATATAAGTATATAATCCAACAATATAAATATATAATACGCTAATACACACAC